TAAGAGTTGAGCTAAGAAAGGATGATGCAGATGTTCGAAGACAACCTTTAGAGGTAAAATTGTTGAGTGATACTTTGCACTATGATTTTTAAACTCATCTTATTGTTCTTTCTGTGTTACTGATATGACTAGGCAATGTATCGAGGGGAACCTGGTTTATCACTTCAGAAGTGGGCTCACACGCTAGTTGCTGTTGGTGCTCGAGTGGCCTGCTGCCAACTAATTCTTTTTCGTTGTGTTTAAGATTCCAATTTTTCAATGGATTGTTATAAATAAAACTAGCCTAGCTTCATTATCACATAGATGGTTACATTTTGCTGTGTTAGATGATTATTTATTAAATATTAATCCATATCTTTTAATTGTAGGAGAGGCTGGATTATTTGGAAGATGGAAAAACCATTTTTAAATTGTGATTAAGGCTTTGCTCATCATTTTACCCAATTAACGAGCGCATGCGGTATTTTTTTCTTGAATATGAAGGACACACTCTCCGAACAAGCCCTCCCTGGGGTTCTGAACTTTTGGAGGTATATTGGCTATGCTTCTTTCTTCAGTCTTTTCAGTTGTCTTGGTTAAATCTATTATTAGTATTCATAATCTCTTTAGTTTTGGTGTTTTGTAATTTTCAAGTCAATTGAAATTATTCTATGGTTGTGCTTGAATTGATTTAAACATTCCCCAAATCCAGTTTTCTTAATTGGTGATACAGCATGTCAATTTTATAAATGCAAAACACTACGTCATGAATTTAGTGTTTTCCATATGGTTAGTATTTTTCAAACCGTAATATACCTCAGTGACTAGATCTCTAGGTAGATTATACAATAAAAGTAGTATTAGGGTCTGACTTTAGTTAGGTTTTTGTCTCTCTCATTTATCTATCTTTGGTATTGAGTAGCAAGAGGGATTTTGGATTTGAATAGTTGGGACTTAGGTTGTTTAGGTTTAAGAGGTGAGAGGAAATTGTATTTTAAACATCCAACCTCTAATCAATTGGCACACCCTCATACATGCACCTGTCGCAAGGTAATAGCACACCAGTCCACTGTCAACCTCACCTCCGATTGCACACCAGGGCTTCCAACAACCCTTCCAGGGTTGCAAATTTGTAGCAACTCTTTTGGATTTGTGCAGACAGACTAGGATGACAACGACCTCTCCTAACATCAACTACCCCCCTTGGGTTGCTCATACAACTTGGCCCTGGGCTTTGATACCATGTAACTATCTAAATTAAACCAATTGCAATCTGTGGAGTACCACATTGTATTTGAAGTCCATAGGTTTCCCTTTAATTCACCAATGTGGGATTTTTCCAGTTAATAGGTATTAATTTTAAACAGTGGACTAAGCGTAATCTCAAATACTGCAAAGTGGAAATTGCTGTAAACATATACATTATGAGAATTTCTTGACTTTAAAAATTAAATAAAATTTAAAGAACATCAATTTTGATTTAATATAACTATGTAGCCTGTATAGGGTCCTGATTCTGTCCAAAATCAAATAGACTGCAGTACTAGATGTTGTTGATGCTTATGCTTCTTTTCATCCTTGATTTCTTTAGTGTCTGCACTACTCTCTTGCAACCAAGGCAGCATTTGGGATTCAGGTGTCATATTTTGTTTGTAAGAGTTCACAAGTGTTAAAAAATGCGCAACTAGGTGTAGTGGTGGCTGGTGCCTTGCCTGGGTTGCTGTGGCGGTGGTTTCATGTGTCTTAGTGTTGCAAAAGACACTAGGCAGTGCCTAGGTGTTGGGCCACTGCCTTGCACCATTGGTGCTGCTTGAGCGCCAGCTAAATGCTCTAGGCATTCTTATTTTTTTGCAAAAAAATGCCAAAATAGAACAGAAAATCTAAAAAATAGAATAAATAGCTTGCTTAGCTCCACCGCCTAGTGCCTAGGCAAGGTGATGGAGCAAAAAGAAAAAAAAAAATCTTAATTTGTGAATAATATAGATGAGTTTATGGTAATACTTGCTTTTAAACTTTTTTTTTTCTTTTTTAGTTTTTTTTGGTATCTATTCTTTTTTTCTTTTTTTTTTTTCTATTTGTTGACTTTTTTGAATTTTAAAAAGGAAAATGCTAGGGTGTGCCTAGGCACTAGGCAGTGGCTCAACGCCTCACCATCGCCTAGAACTTTTCACAACACTTCAGACTCTTAGAAAACCTTGTGGAAGCAGAAGGTTGTTGACTGGAAAATGTGGGTTAATGGGGGACAAGGTTCTTATGTTAATTAGGTTGTCATTGAATTGGCTGAGTTTTCCAGTACTGAAATACTTAGATTTTGAGATTGGTGGTGGCATTCATTGCGCTTCACTTTGTAGTTTTATTAGTAATATTACTCTTCGCCAATCAAAAGGAAAAAACAAAAAACACATTGAAGTGTGAAATTTGTGTCATGGAATCTGATGTTATCAAACAATAAATTTCTTCAATAGTCAAAAAATGGCGCACTTATTAGCACTCTACTTTGGTTTGCAGGCAATTAATAGCTTGAAGAATGTCGATTCAACTGCTTTGCTTCAGTTTCTTCACCCAATTCTGAACATGCTTCTCCATCTTATAGGAAATGGTGGAGAAACCCTTCAGGTTCTCAGTTTAGTTTTAACAATGATTTAAATCTCTCAAACTTGTGCATTTTGTGTAGATGCCCTCTTTCATCTAAATCTCCAAGCTGGAAGAGTTTTATAATTAAGTTCCACCATGTTAAATTGGATAGATTACTAAATGCTGCTCATTTATTGTTTTCTCTGTCACATCAGGTTGCAGCATTCAGAGCCATGGTTAACATCTTGACTCGGTATGTTGTTTGGTTATTGCATTGATTGAAACTTGCTAGGATTTGTCATTCATCATCATTAGAACATAGAGACACATGAGTTTATGGAGGATAAACAGGTTTGATCATTCAATTTGGGATGAAAGTGATAGCATGAAAGTGTAGAAATTCAAAATCTTCATTACTAAACCTTAGTTTTAATGTTTATATTATGGATCATGATACGTACACACCCTAAACCCACACCCCATGCTACACACCACCGGTCCATCTATTAAAATATATTTTCCTCACATTGGTTGGCCTATCCTCGGCTTATTCTCTGCTGAATCCCTACCACATTCAATTCAAATCCGCGGAGAAACAGGCTTGGGTTTTGGGGATTTTCTCTTTCCTTCTTCCTCTTTTTTTTTTTTT